TAGAATAGAATAGAATAGAATAGAATAGAATAGAATAGAATAGAATATTGGAATGTAGAATAGAATAGAATAGAATAGAATAGAATAGAATAGAATAGAATAGAATAGAATAGAATATTGGAATGTAGAATAGAATAGAATAGAATATTGGAATGTAGAATAGAATAGAATATTGGAATGTAGAATAGAATAGAATATTGGAATGTAGAATAGAATAGAATAGAATAGAATACAATATTGGAATGTAGAATAGAATAGAATAGAATAGAATAGAATAGAATAGAATAGAATATTGGAATGTAGAATAGAATAGAATAGAATAGAATAGAATAGAATAGAATAGAATGGAATATTGGAATATCGGAATATAGAATAGAATATTGGAATAAAGAACAGAATAGAATATTGGAATGTAGAATAGAATAGAATAGAATAGAATAGAATAGAATAGAATAGAATAGAATAGAATAACAGAGTTGTAAGGGACCTTGGAGGTCTTCTAGTCCAACCCCCTACTTTTGCAGGAAACCCTATATGCCATTTCAGACAAATGGTTATCCAACCTCTTCTTAAAAGCTTCCAGTGTTGGATCATCCACAACTTCTGGAGGCAAGTAGTTCCACTGGTGAATTGTTCTTGCTGTCAGGAAGTTCCAGGTTGGTTCCCTCTTTGATCAGTTTCCATCCATTGCTTCTTGTCCAGCCTTCAGATACTTTGGAGAGTAGCTTGACTCCCTCTTCTTTGGGGCAGCCCCTGAGATATTGGAAGACTGCTATCCTGTCACCCCGCCCTAGTCCTTCTTTTCATTAAACTAGAAATGTGCCCAATTCCTGCAACCGTTCTTCATATACTTTAGCCTTAACAGTTCGAAGGGACCTGGTAGGTCATCTAGTCCAACCCCCCCCCCCCCCCACCCAAGCAGGAGGTTATGCTGGTGTTTGATAAAGATGTTGTTTTTGTGCTGTTCTTTTTGACCAGTTGGATGTGCTGGTTTTTTTGTGTACTGTTTACAGTTGTATTATTGATTTTTGTTGTTGATCTCATTGTTTGTCATCCTGCATGGGGTGGATGCAACTCTGGATGGGACATAGTGGTAGTAGATTTCCAGTATGTTCTGACTGCACACTGTTGTCATATGCAGTCAATTATTCAGTGTCCCTCACCACAACCACACACTTTCTGCTTCAATGCTTTCTATGTTTGTTCTCTCTGTGTGTGTTAGTTCTGTTCCTGTTACTTGTGGGCGCCCCGCTTCCCCGTAGATAAGGGTCAGCTTCAGTGGTGAGATTCAAAAATTTTTACTACAGGTTCTGTGGGTGTGGTTTGGTGGGTGTGGCAGGGGAAGGATACTGCAAAATTCTCATTCCCTCCCCACTCCTGAGGGAAGGATACTGCAAAAAAGAGGGCTGTGAAAATATCTACAGACCCCTCACATCCCAGATATAAATGGTTTCAACTCCTACCCTCAAAACGACGCTATAGAGCCCTGCACACCAGAATAACTAGACACAAGGACAGTTTTTCCCCAAATGCCATCACTCTGCTAACCAAATAATTCCCTCAACACTGTCCAACTATTTACAAAGTCTGCACTACTATTATTATTAATCTTCTCATCATTCCTATCACCCATCCCCTCCCACTTGGGACTGTATGACTGTAACTTTGTTGTTTGCATCCTTACGATCTATATTGACTGTTTCCTAGTATGATTTGATTGCTTATTGTACCCTATGACTATCATTAAGTGTTGCACCTGATGATTCTGGACTCTTGATGAATGTGTCTTTTATTTTATGTTCACTGGGAGCATTTGCACCAAGACAAATTCCTTGTGTGTCCAACCACACTTGGACAATAAAGAAGTCTCTTCTCTTCTCTTCTCTTCTCTTCTCTTCTCTTCTCTTCTCTTCTCTTCTCTTCTCTTCTCTTCTCTTCTCTTCTCTTCTCTTCTCATCTATTCTATTCCATTCCATTCCATTCTATTCCATTCTATTCTAAAATCCCCATTCCCTCCCCACACCTGGAGGAAGGATACTGCAAAATCCCCATTCCCTCCCCATCCCACTAGCCTGCTTTCCAGCTCGATTCTCCTATGCAGGGCAACCAAAGAAGACCCAGCCGATCATCTGGGACTCAATGGGAGGCAGAGAAGAGATGGGGTTGGCGGGGCCAGTCAGAGGTGGGATTGGCCGGTTCTCCGAACTATTCAAAATTTCTGCAACCAGTTCAGGAGAACCGCTCAGAACCAGCCGAATACCACCCCCTGGGCCTCTGGTTTGCTGGGATGGCGTATCACCGCTGCATCTTCCACGCAAGCTGCTTCTCCGTGGAGCGAGAAGTGGCTTCCCTTCACCTACCAAACACAGCGTCCCCAAATCCCTGTCCTTGCCATGAGGACTAGGACCTTGTGATAAACAACCGCTTTGCAGGCGGCACCTGCTCTTTTTGGGCCGTGCTATTTTTAATGGCCGGTACATTCTGACTTGGCAGAAGAGTGGAGTTTCATAACAGCTCCTGGAACCTCATCCGTAGGATGACCCCATGACCGTTAATCTTAGAAACATCGCAGCGGCCCAAGTCAACTTCCCACCCATGTTGCACACGTCCGAATTTCCCAACCAGTTGCTCCTCCCGGTCTTTTATTGGCTCTGGAGAGACTCCCTCGTTCGCCCTTTGCCCAAAAAGTATCGGACTGTGAAGTAGATCGTTTGGAGGTACAGATCTGCTTGAAATCTGCAGCGGATGAAAACGATCTCGAGGTCAAGGCAAAGAAACCCTTTTATTTATTTTTTAATCAGAAGCCTCCAGAAGACCTTCCACACACCCCCACTCCCCGCGACCTATGGATCGAGGGGCTTCAGACTTGGAAAAGCCCCCGCTTGGCACTTCCTCCGACGGAGATGCCCAAAGTTCGGTTCTCCCCTGCGGCAAGAAATTATGTCGGTGGTTTCCTTCCGATTTCTGGGAAGAGGTGAAGAATATTATGGTGATGGCCGGGCCGTTGGTAAGTTCTCCTTCCCTTTGCAAATTTGCAGCCGAGCAGAGATACTCTTAAGGCAGGTTTTAAAACACACACACACACATAGAATAACAGGGGTGGAGGGGACCTCCGAGATCTTCCAGTCCAGCCCCCTGCTGAAGTGGAAGACCCATTTCTGACAAACGGTTGTCCAATCTCATCTTGAAAGCCTCCAGCGATGGAGCACCGCAACATCAGTCTGAGGATCAGAATGTAAGTCCATCCATCAGAATAGAATAGAATTGGAAGTGAAGGTCTTCTAGTCCAACCCCGTTCCCCCTGTCTGGTTTCTTCTTTAAAACCTCCAGTATTGTAGCATCCACAAGTTCTGAAGGCAGGTTAATCACTGTTAGGAAATTCCTCCTTATTTCCAGGTTGAATCTCTCCTTGTTCAGTTTCCGTCCATTATTCCTTGTCTGGCCTTCGGGTGCCTTGGAGAATAGCTTGACCCCCTTCTCCTCTCTGTGGCAGCCCCATAAATATTGGAAAACTACTATCCTGTCTCCCCTGGTCCTTCTCTTCCCCAGACTAGCCAGGCCCAGTTCCTGCAACCGTTCTTCATACATTTTAGCCTCCAGTCCCCTCATCATCCTGGTTGCTCTTCTCTACACTCTTTCTAGAGCCGTGGTGGCTAACATTTTGGGGCTCCTGCTCCAATAATTGTGCATGCGTTTGCACGCTCGTGTCCCAGCACCCAGAAGGCAATGTGCACAGGTCGTCCCCCCCCCTGATGCCTCTCGCACACACCATACAACTCTGTGCGCGTGTGTGCATCTCCCGCCCCGCCACGTCTTCGCGTCAGATTACCCGACGATCATCATGCCCAGTAGAGACCTGCTCTGGGCGAGGGCTCGCACGCCAGTAGTAATGGCTCTGCGTGCCATTTCCGACATGGGTGCCATAGGTTCGCCATCATGGTTCCAGAGTCTCCACGTCTTTTTTTACATCGTGGTGACCAAAACTGGGAACAGCATTCCAAGTGTGGCCTTATCAAGGCCTTATCAAGTGGTGTTAACACTTGACGTGATCTTAATTCTCTCCTTCTGTTTATGCAGCCTAGAACTGTGTTGGCTTTTGGGGCAGATGCAGCACACAGCTGGCTCCTCTTGAAGGCGTCCAAGATTCTCTCTTGGTTTAGCCATGGTCAGCTGACTTTCATTTTCATTTTGTTTTTCTCTACAGATTCTCAGTCATTCAGGTCATGGTTATCCCAAAGGTGCTTTTTCCGCCCAAGAGAAAAGGTTTTTTCTTCATTGAAAATGTTTCGCTTCTCATCCAGGGGTGGGATTCAGCCGGTACAGAACGGTTCAGGTGAACCAGTAGCGTGAATCGCGTGCCCACCGAACCAGTTGTTACACCGGTTGAATCCCACCATTTTTCTCATCCAAAAAGTTTCTTCGGTTCTGAAGAGGGGGAAAAAAAAAAAATCCGGTTCGAATCCGAGTCACGGCACCTTTCTATGGTACAAGGGAACCAAAACACAGGGCAATTTTAGAAGACATTATATACGGGAGTCTTTGTGGTTAAACTGGGAGAAGATAAAAAAACAATGTTATTTGAAAATTCCAGTTTGGTTATCGACGATAGAAGCTTTTTCTTATCCTATAATTTATAAAAAGGAACAAACAGTTAGATATGGGGAATTACTAGATGAAAAGGGTGAACTTAAATCGATACAAAACTTAGAGGAACAAGGTATACAGATGAATTGATTTTCATATGTGCAAATGCACTCAAGGTATGATGAAGATTCCAAAACAGAGGGATTTTATGATAAACAGACTGATTTAGATAAGATTTTGACAGGTACTGATGAAAAGATGATTAAAAAACTATATGGTTACTTATTGGGAATTAAGCTAGAGGAAGAACAAGTTAAAGAAACTATGATTGCTTGGGGAAGGAATTTTGGATATGGGATTGATTTAGAGAAATGGCAGAAATTATGGTCGCAAAATTATAAAATGACAATGTCTACAGCGTATAAAGAAAATTTGTATAAGATGTTTTACAGGTGGCATTTCCCCCCGACAAAGATAGCAAGAATGTTTAAGAACAAATCGGAAAAATGTTGGAAGTGTCATCAGATACCTGGTTCATATTACCATATGTGGTGGACTTGTGAGGATGCTAGAAAATACTGGACTAAAAAAAATCCAACAAAGTCCAGTTGTCTTTTGGAAAAAAACAAAAAAAAGCACTTTGGGGTTTTTACTTTATTTATTTATTAAATATGCTAGCTGTTTGTGGTTTAGTGGCACTCATTGCTGTCCTTGGTAACTAAACTCCAATATCTAGGGGCTGCCATCATTAGGGGATTGGACTGGAGGCTAAAACATACGAAGAACAATTGCAGGAATTGGGTATGTCTAAAAGGGCTGCGGACACAGTCTTCCAATATTTAAGGGGCTGCCGCAAAGAAGAGGGAGTCGAGCTATTCTCCAAAGTCCAGACAAAAAGCAACAGATGGAAATGAGTCAAAGAGACAAGCAACTTAGAACTAAAAAGAAACGTCCTAACAGTGAGAACAATTAACCAGTGGAATAACTTGCCTCCAGAAGTCGTGGGTGCTACAACACTGGAGGTTTTCAAGAAGAAATCGGACAACCAATTTCCCGCCTGAGCAGGTGAAGGGGTTGGACTAGAAGACCTTCAGGGTCCCTTCTGTTACTATGTTATTCTGTCAAACTCCATTATATAGCTCAGATTTTGAGGTTAGATTTCACAGCCTGAAACCTAGCCTGTTGCTCAGGTGTAAAGCAAGTATCTCCCCATCCAAACGTAGATTGATTCTGCAATCTTGGGAGAGAAATTGCAGGGAGAAAGCTGGTCACAAATGAAGAGTCTCATTTGGCTGCAAAGTTTTACTTTGAGTTGCATTTTAGCCACGTTGTCAGCGAACTGCTGCTCTTTAAAAACATTTTATTGCCTTTTATTTCTTAATTATTTAAGGTTTCCTTTCGAGATTAAGAGGGAAGCAAAAGAGATGGTTAAATTTAGGGGGATTGGAACAACCGATTCAAGCCCCAGTAATAAACTGCATTATTACATGACTTTAGTCTACTACTGAGCTTTAAGTGGTTTGATTATAATACTTTAATCCGGGGTTTCTCAAACTTGGAAACTTTAAGATGAGTGGACCTCCACTCCCAGAATTCCTCAGCTCACATGCTTTAAGATAAATTGACCAACTCCCAGAATCCCCAGTCAGTTTGCTGGAAGATAAGATTAGATTAGATTAACAGAGTTGGAAGGGACCTTGTAGGTCATCTAGTCCAACCCCCTGGCCAAGTAGGAGACCCTACATCATTTCTGACAGATGGCAGTCCAGTCTCTTCTTAAAAGTATCCAGCGGTGAAGCTCCCACAACTTCTGAAGGCAACTTCTGTTCCACTGATTGACTGTCTTCCCTATCAGGAAATCTCTCCTTATTTGTAGATTGAATCTCTCTGCTTGATCAGTCTCCATCCATTATTCCTTGTCTGGCCTACAGGTGCTTTAGAAAATAGCTTGACCCCTTCCTCCTCACTGTGGCAGCCCCTCAAAGGCTGGATACCAAAGATGGTAGACGTCAACTCAGAATGCCAGCAGGGGAATCCTTGGTGTTGAAGTCCACCCATCTTAAAAGTCTCCACAGTTGAAAAACACTGCTAATTTACAACTGAATTCTAAAATTGCTATTATTGCAGCTTTTGAACCTGTTGGAAACTTAAAGATGCACGACAACAGATGTTCCAGGACCCACCTGGTAGCTTCTACTACACTTCCGGGTGGTGCTTTGAAGAGTTTCAAATCTTCACCTGTCCCCCTCTTCCTCACCTTTCTCCCTTTAGACGGTGATTCAGCTCCTGGTGTTCATGATCCACGTCGTCAGTACGATATTTTGTGGCCACATGGGCAAGGTTGAGCTGGCATCTGTCACTCTGGCCATTGCGGTGAGTTTCCTGTCCCATCTAATGGTGGGATTCTACTGGTTCAGGTCAGTTCGGGTGAAGCGCTAGTAAAATATGCGACCATTCAGCCGAATCGGTATTTATTTATTTATTTATTTATTTATTTTCCTCCCGACAATCAGCTGTTCCAATGATCAGATGTGCCAGGATCCCCCTTGCTGTCTTACTGCTTCACCCAGGAGGTTTCCCTGAGACCCAGGAGGCC